AATAATATCTCGATCTATCTTCTCATTTCTCTGTCCATCACTAATCTTCAAGAACTCAAAAGTTCAAAATATACTTGTGGGACAGAGGAACCCAGGGCTGCCAGTGGGTGATCTCTACATTCTTTGAATATAGGGATTATGTTTTCTTCTCTAGCATAGAACACAAAGCCTGGCACACAGTACATGCTTAATAAACATGTGCACAATATTTATTGTTTGACGACACTAGAAAAAGTTCCACTTAACTTTGGAACCAAGAATATTTATGTTCCACATGAGCGATGTTTTTATCTCATGGACATTGTGGACTAGGATGCTCTGGCTGCTAAAGTGTTCTTTTTTTGTTTGTTTGTTTTTTGTTTTTTTTAGGAAGATCAGCCCTGAGCTAACATCCACGCTAATCCTCCTCTTTTTGCTGAGGAAGACCACCGGCACTGAGCTAACATCTATTGCCAATCCTCCTCCTTTTTTATTCCCCCAAAGCCCCAGTAGACAGTTGTATGTGATAGTTGCACATCCTTCTAGTTGTTGTACGTGGGACGCAGCCTCAGCATGGCCGGAGAAGCGGTGCGTCGGCGCGTGCCCGGGATCCGAACCTGGGCCACCAGCGGCGGAGCGCGCGCACTTAACCACTAAGCTACGGGACCGGCCCCTACTAAAGTGTTCTGAGAGCAAATTTGTGGCCCACCTCTGTGAAGGATATAATCTTTACTGAAAGCCTTTTCAGCCTCATTCCTGGTCCCATTTCATCACCCCACCCTTGCTTTGTATTCTCTTCCTGTTTCTAACCATCTATCCTATATAGTTTATGTTTTTGATGCCTGTGTCTAGCACGCTACCTGGCACATTAGAGACACTCAATAAATAGTGAGTGGATTTCATGAAACTTCTAACCCCTCTCTGAAATAAGTATCTTCCCTTTTTATAAAAAAACAAATGAAGAACAACCCTTCCCCTGAGGTGCTCTTGAGAGTTGGTAGCTCCCTTCCTCCCATCACAAGGAAAAAGAAGCTGGCCTGCGAGATTATTCAGCCAAACACCCCCCTCCTACTGCCCCTACTCTCCCCCACATCTTTTATTTTTAGGGTGAAGGCCTGTCACTGTTTGCTTCATGCATGCCTAGCAAAGCATATCTAAGCAAAGCCCAACAGGTAGTTTCTCAAAACTTCTGTCCATCATGAGAATAAAAATAACTCTATTGATGTAAAAGATTCTGGAAGTGAGAAAAGAAAATTTTCAGTCACTTTTCAAAGAATTGGAGAGAAGATACAGTTGCTGGATCTTCGTAGCCATGTTAAGGGAAAGGACAGTCGGGAGAAGCTGACAGCACCCAGGTTCCCTCAGCTGGGAGAGGAAAGGTCACGCTGTGGGACCATCTCTGTGGTTTTCAATACTAAAGAGAACTTAAGGGATTTGGGAAAGCAGAAAGGTTTGTTAGCAAAATTCAGGACTAAGAAGAGAGACGTGAGCCTAAATCTCCCACTGAATGGCTGCCTCAGAGGATTGCTAGGTTTATATATTCATATGTTAAAGCACAAAAGAAAGAATGGCCTATAGACTTGGTAAAAAATATGAACATATTTTGATTAGTACTTAAGTGTCTTGTGTACATAAAATTATTATTCATATGTTCCTTTGTGTTACATATCACGCAGAGCCTGAAAGTTAAATCTTTCTTATCCCACACTTCCCACTGAAAAAAAAAGAATTATCTAAAAATTCTGGGATTTTTACCTTTTCAACCTATATTACATTTTTCTAAGTGTAGATCACTTAGGAAAGTTTCCATTTGTTGAAATGCATTCTGCATATTCTAAACCAATCACATAAAATTATCCTCCAAACATGTGATTAAATCATATGATCACTAAATCTTCTCCCCAAAATCACAGCAGCCTCAGAAACATACGTATGGCTATAGTTTCAGCCAAAGAAACGGAAACCTAGAATCCTAATGCAGGATTCAGCCTAATGTCAAACATCCTCCGACACAAAAGCAAGGAACATGAGAGACAAGAGCCATCGGACAGGCCTGTTCCTGTAAAAACCATATAACTGGTAATTTTGCGCTCCTCGGAGTTTTCATAATTTAGTATGTGGCACTCGGTTAAAGACTTGAGAAGATCATGTGGACAAATGTGATATTCCAATAGGAAACTATGTTAATGAAAATTTATTGAGGCTTTATGCATATTCATCACTTAATCCTCACACAAACCCTGCCAGGAAGGCTCTATTAACCCCATTATAGATAAATTTTTTTTACATAAAAATGATATAGATATTTTTATATAAATATTATAGTTAAAGAAGTTGATTCTGAGGAGCCAAGTAACTTGCTTATAGTAACACAGTAACCAGATCTCCTGAACACAAGTCAGGGGCTTGTTAATACTACTTCATACATTCTTGTCACAAAAGAAGGACCATCAATAATAAAAGTAAATGAATGATTGAGATACGGTAGAGTTTCCAGGGATCAGCAGCAGTCTAGTGGGAGTCAGTTTATGTGTCGAAAGGTGGTGGGTGCAAGATTAGGAAAAGCTAAAAACACAGGGGCAGAGGAATCTTTTCTCCACTAGCAACATGGAGTTGCCCTTAGATTTGCCACTGGCCCTGAGGACCCAAGTCCAATCACGTGGGAACGTGGCTCCTCTGGCCGGTCCAAACGTGCACACTTGAGACCCTGATGGCTTGAAACTTTAAGAACCAGCTCCTGTGTTACAACCTTGCTAGATGGCCTCAAAAGTAATTTATATCTCATTTTATTTGGAAGAATCTTACCTACTGACAGAATTATTGTCATTTGGCTGACAAACGTTTCTTCAAAAATAATTTAAAAGCCAAATCAATTCACAAGAGCATAAGAAAAAAAAACTCCGTTTTTAATGGAATGCTATTTTTATTGAGATCATTTCAATAACTTAGTACTGTTAGCTGCTGAAACTACTACTATGAACCATCTCAGCACAAAAATATACAGAAGCTGGATACATTCGTAATCGAAATTGGCTCTGTTTGATTTCAACCAAAATTGGCTTGTCTGTAATTTTTTTCAGCGCTTTGCTTCAAAAAGCATTTAAAAAAATTTTAAAGACATGATCTGGGCAGCTTTGAAAAAGGAAAAAAATAAAGGCATTCCCTTTCTGCCTTAAACCTTTATGATCCAGAAGGCATCCAACTGGTAGAAAATTTGCTTCATGGCAGTCATAGGCCAATTTCTGTACTAAGGTATAACTCACTGAGAAACTCTGCTTTCTTAGAGATATTTTCAGACCCTTAATGTTGTGCTAGTACCAGCTCTGTCCTGCACTCACATTTATGAGTGTACTCACGTTTATTCTTAGCTGATCAAATTTGAAGGTGTCAACCAGCCCTTGCTATGAGAACATTACTTTAAGCCTGATTTACGATAAATGCCAGCATGCTCATCCTCCATTCTTAACTAATCGAAGAATCTTCCTGCTGTTTACAGTCAAGTAATCTAATGATTACAGCACACCAAACAAAGCAAGGTGCCAGTGTATCCACTAATAAAGTCAGGGGAAAGAGTAATCCAAACATACTCTATTAGCAAACTCAGTCTATTTCTTTTATGTTTTCTTCCTGTGAAATCTACAAGTCTAAATTGTTCTGGAATTCCAGGATCCTAACCCAAAGCTCCCATCAACGTGCCTCAAAATTCCCCAACAGCCTACCTCATCTGTGTCTCTGCATACAGTCATGTGAGTTGTGCACTGCACAACCCTAGGAGTACTAATCACATTGTAAAAGTCATAGATGTGAATATTTATAATCACAACTTATAAGTTGGTAATAGTAGTAACTTGTGGGGGTTTTTTTTCATAAAATCAGTGTATTATGACAATTTTTCAATAGAAAATAATAGCATTTTGAAGAGGAGGCATAGTTTTCTAATTCATACTAAAACACTATACAGATTAGCATTGATCTTGTCACAAACCAATTTAATTCAGATAAATCAGTTAAATTAATCATTTTATAATGTATATAACAAGGGACAGGGATTTTTTTTTTTCTATTGAGAGGGACGTGGCCAGAGAGGAGAAAGAGCTAAACAAGGACCCGCATATCTCTCAGAAACGTGACTTAAATCCCTTAGTTCTAACTTTTTAAAAAGTTAGATTCATTGTCGTATCAATTTTGACACCGCCCATTTACAGACCAAAGAAAGAAGGTCACAGAGGTTTCATCTCCTCAGACGCTGCTTTTTAAATTAGGAAAAATGTGTTCAAAAGTATATCCAATAAATAATAAAAAGAAAAACTACAAAGTACTTTAATTCCATCTGTATCCTGTATCCAGAGAAGAGAAAGAGGAGAGAAGGAGAAAGGAGGATAAAAAGAGGGAATAGAGGGGGAAATATAAAGTGAAGTGAGGGGTGGGGGCAGGGCAGGGAAGGAAAAGAGAGATACAAAGAAAGAAATCAAAGGATATATGTACGTAGAAAGAAAGAAAGGAGAGACACAGAGAAGAGACATCTCAAGATAGAAGAGGGGTGACAAGATTAAAGGAAAGATATTGTAAGTTCTCAGATGGGTGCTTGGTGAAGAGTAAACTGATTTGGTTCTGTTTTATTTTTCCTTGGTTTATGGAAAAAGTTACTTTGTCATGCTAACTGGGCATAAACCATTCATCACAGCTTTTTAATTATTCAGTATCCCTACACTTTCCCAGATTCATCTTCAGCAGCTCACCAGCGGTATAGCTGTTTTCTTGACTACAGTAGCAGGGGACTGAGGTGAGCTATCAAAGTACATCTTGGTCAGATACCTAAAAACATCTTTTTAAATCAATGTGTGAGTTCTTAGGGTTCCTGGAGGCACTAATTTGAATATGAAAAGAATAATCATCATGGTTATTTCACAGATCACTAAGTTGGCCTCAATACGCCATCCCCTTCTAGTACCAGACACATACACTCACACACATACACACACAGAGTATCTTCTGGTGACAGTTTATCTTGTTTTCTACAGTGCTCCTATATACCTAAGTGTGGAAAAAATTTTGAAGAATCCATGTCCCTGGTGAATGTTGTCATGGAAAACTTCAGGAAGTACCAACACTTCTCCTGCTATTCTGACCCGGAAGGAAACCAGAAGAGCGTCATCCTAACCAGACTGTATAGCTCCAATGTGCTATTCCATTCACTCTTCTGGCCAACATGTATGATGGCTGGGGGCGTGGCGATCGTTGCCATGGTGAAACTCACACAGTACCTCTCCCTGCTCTGTGAGAGGATCCAACGGATCAATAGATAAAAGCAAAATGGATGAGATCATTTTCTTTAAAGCTCAAATACTGTTTTCTTTCATTCTTCACCAAAGAACCTTAAGTTTGTAATGTGCAGTCTGTTATGAGTTCCTTAATATATTCTTATACATAGAGCAATAATGCAAAAGCTGTTCTATATGCAAACACGATGTCTTTATTATTCAGGAGAAGAAATAAGTGTTTTGTGTTGGTTGGTCGGTTGTTTTCGTAATCTTATTTCAATGCTGGAACTAGTACTTCCTTCTCTCGTTCTGCCAAAATAGGGCTCAGTTATTCATTTGCCAAGCTTTGTGGAGGAATGTAGACAATATCAACGTGATGAGGTCTGTGTTCTGAGTTGTCAAATCTCTTGAAGACATTTCTGCAATATTTTTCATCATTCATTGTTTACTAAAGCTGCAGCCAAAAATATTTTTTCTTTTCCTACTCTAAACTGAGCCCTGTAGCAAGTGAAGGGACCAGATTTCCAAACTAAAGGATGTTATGCATTTTCCTTGTATTTCTACCATATCACTGTAAAGAAGGGGGGAAACCCAACCAGCGATTTTTCTTTTATTACTTTCTATTCATAACTTTAGATTTTTTTAACTGATTTCCAAAAAAATAAGCTGTTTTCATTAACAGTTCTATAATCTCTTCTTGTGATTCGAGTAGAAAATGAACAGAGCCCTTTCCACATAAGACCCTGCTACTGTGTGAGAAGATGACATTTACAAGGAGTTTTATTACCTGTGAACTAACTGAACATTGAGCAGATGCTCCATCACAATCCGGGAAAGACTATGTTACTAAGAAACTTGTGTGAAAATCTTTATTCTATTTCAGTTGAACTGTTAGGTGGTAAAACTAAGATCCTACTTGCTGGTCAAGACTGGTAAACTGATTTCAATGGGTAAATCTATTGTGGCAAATTAACATGTTGGAATATTGCTCTTTGGGAATTCATGTTTAAGTTAATGAATGTATAGTCTCTCTTTCTGACAAGTGTCCTCTATCAGGATTTTAAAGCTATGTGCACAGAATATTTATCTCCTCTACATGTTTTATTTTTCTATTTATAATTCCCTTTTTTGTTGCTAGTTTTTATACATGGAATAGACCTTTTTTCCTAAAACACCCTTGAACTGAATGACAGATTTAAAGGAAGCCTTTGTTCACATAGCCATTCACTTATTGCTTGGGGGGAAAAATGAGGGATTGGTTTTAAACAAAAACATTCCATCTTTTATTTAAAATCAATATCAAAAGGAGAAGACAAACATCTATCTTTCTCATCTATATTTAAGTACCTTTTTGTAATGTAGTATCAAAGTTTTCTAGGTATTGCAATATTTTACAAACCATATTTGTGGAATGAATGGTGAAACTAATCTGGTGAAGTGGAAAGTATTCTGCAATATTGTAATTCATAGTTTGACTTTTCATAAACAAATAAATCCCTAGGGTATAATCAAGACTTCAAATGTGTAATTAAAATTTTTTTTAAAAATCTGTTACATCAGCAAGATTTGAATACCTCTTGCATTCTAAGCTGACAAGCACACAGTAGTTCAAAAACCTATGATTCACTATCTTTAAAAGTATGTAAAGAGATTATAAAGAAAGTTCCTTTTTTTTAACACCCAAACACATACACACAATGTTATGAATATTTGGAAAATATGATAGAAAACTCAATTCCTACCCCACCTTGAAAACATAATTCTGGAGATGAGAGGGAAATCTCTGTAACTATGGAGCTGAAAATTTGTAATCTTTACTGTTCTTTGGGCTTCCCTTCAAGTGACCCAAGTATGAAACATATGCAAGTGAAATTATTAGATGAGTTATTTTTTATTTTCCTCTGGATTTTTAATTAAAAATTCCCAACTCATGTTTCAGATAAGAGGGAAAAATGTCAAAATAATGACACCAAAAAGAAGCTAACTAGTGCCTTCTTGAATTCCAATAAAGCAATAGCCCCTTCAAGTAATCTGAATGCAGACACAGTTAAATGCTCATTATTAAAGGAAAAAGAACTAGTACTAATAATAATGTCTTAAGTGCTTTGCATGTGTTAAGTAATTTAATCTTTATAACAACCCTATTGGAGGGTAGCACTATTATTATCCCATCCTACAGATGAGAGTGTTGAGACTTAGAGATGTTAAATAACTTCCCCAAGGTTACACAGATACTAAGACAGCAGAGAACTAAGAAAATACCCAGTCTGTAGCTTTCCCATTATGGTAACCATTTCCATGGCTTTGGGGTCTTTTAGATAACACTGAGGGATGCTAAGGTTTGGAAGGGATTATAGGGGTGAAGAAGAAAGAGCACTGAACTGGAAGTCAAAAGATTTCATTTAAGACATGGTGACTAGGTGACTTAGGCTTCTCAATTAATCTCTTGACTTCTTTGACTGTAAAATTAGGATGTGAGGCCAGCTGACTGCTAAGGTCCCTTTTAACACTAACATTTCATCCTGGTATATGGAAGGAAGAATGAATACCATTCTCCAATCTTCATAGAGCAGATCTGATTCTCAAATAGAATCTAAACATATTAGTCCATGAATTAAAAAACGGTCTTCCTGCTGATATTCCCCATAATCCGTGTGCCTCTTCTTTAGGGCCCAAAGCTTTATTTATACCTGCCAGAAGCACAACTCTGACTCTCCACATTATTCAACAAGGACGATTTCCCCCACAGAATATCTGTGCTTCCAAATCACTTTCATTATCCAATTGGCACATCCCATCTAAAACTTTATTGATTTCAAATTCCCTGACTTGCAATTATATTAAAACCCAGAAAATGGTAAATACACCAATCACTGCTTGCAAATAGCTATAATAAAAACTATGATTCTGTAGAAAGCCACTGGTGAAATGCTGACTGATCATAATGATGGTGTAGGCAATCACAAAATACCTCCTTTGTAGACCACATGCCATTTAGGGTTCCAGCATGTTACTCTTTTCTCATTGCTGTGAATGACCAAAAAAGTGATTATGCGTGGCATTTATATAGCAAATATTATTTTCAATATGTCATGCCATAAACACCTTACCACATTCCAGTGGATGAAACATCTTGACACTCTAATCATTCCATTGACATTAACAGAGAAATCTCTGCAGGACAGCAAAATAATATGAGCAATTGATTCAAGTGAGCTAAAACAATTTTAAAGGAATGATTTGTTATTCACAGACATAATTAAATTTCCTCTCCTCCCCTGCAAAAATATTGAAATGAACAACATTTGAGCAGGTAAGGTAACTCTCATTGTCCTGGTAGGGAAGAGGGAGTGGTTAAAGGTTGGACATTGTTCCTTCTCTTCTCAACTTCTACTGTTTTCCCTTTCCCCTTGTACAACAATTCAGTAAGAACAATGTCACATTTCTGCAGTAACCACTCCAATGTGTATACCACATGGGAAATCTGACTCAAGAAACAAAGTTTCAGAGCTCTCCTGAAAAATTTATCAGGAGACAAGTAAGTCAGGACTGAGCAGACACCTTTTCAGTTGAATCTGTTTCATCCTTCCATATTTCCAGCAACCGTAAGGAATAATACCAAGTATACAACACAGTTGTCTCTCTTAAGAATGAATTTGAACTCTATTAGAAGGGTTGAGACAACGCATATGAAAAAAATAGAGAACAGTTAGGTCTCAAACCCAACTCAATGGGGACAATATCTACAGAGGGCTGATATTAGGCTTTACTGGAACTGTAAAATGTAAAATGCCTAGCACTGTATATAGCATACATAGATGCTTACCAAATGGTAATTATTACTATTAATAGTAAAACGAAGTAGTATTAATAGTATAAATATAACCACTAGTAGTATATAATCTCTTGGAGCTAGAATAGCTCAAAAATGTTGTTTTGCCCAAAATTCACACCAATGCCTAAATCCCTTAGACAACATCCTTAGCGGGTATCCTCTAATGACAGGGACAGTTACTACTGGAATCCTGCCAGTGATAGGATAGATTACCAGTTAATAAGACAATGCTAGAAAGTTTTCCTGATAATCAGTCTGAAATCTGCCTTCCTATTATATCTACCCACTAAATCCACACAAAATCAGATCAGTTCTCCAGTCACTAACTTATTCTATTAGTTTAATTTTATTAAAATATGGAAAAGGGGATGGGGAAAGAGAAACTTCCATTTGTTTAGTATATAAGACCATAGAAAATAACCTATTCAGCCAGAATTATGACATAAATGAAAATGTATAAAGGTAGCATAAATGACATCAACTTTAAAAGGTTAACAATATGCCCATTAGAACCTAAACATTCATGGATGAATTAAATTGATGAGCTAGCTAAACCCTCTGATGCTCATGTGAATTTTAATCCTGCACCAATCCTCAAGTATAATTTGGCCTTCTGAAAGGTAAAACTGTCTGTAATTCTACATTACATTCTTATTCAACTTTATGACAACAGACTAAGCTGTCTAAGAACCAGATGACTCAGGAGCATAGATGTGTTCCTAACAAAATGTTTCTACAATTGTGCCGTGGGTTCATCTTGGCTAAGGTACCATTCTCCAGTGCAATGCCAAGGAATTGGAAGGAAATGTCAATCTGAATTCCAGTAGTGACTTTATGAATAAGTGTTCCATGTAGGTAGGAAGAGAAGTTGTTCTCTCAAACAGTATAATCACTTAATTAGGGCTTCCATAACTGTTCTGTAGCCAAATTCTTTTAAAACAAATTTAATTCCCAAGCCCTTGCAAGTTGTAATATGATTTATTACAACATAGTATGATATCAGGGCATGGAGAAGGCTTCAGGGTCCTCTATACATTCCCACCACCTGTTAGCACTATTAGCAGTACCAGAAATTTCTTTAGGTAGAAGTCACAACTTCTCTTCATAAAAATTTCTCTCTCTCTCTCTTTCTCTCTCTCTTTCTCTTAGCTGTGTTTTCCTCTCTTTGTCACATTCTTAATCTCCATACACCAACAAAGATGACCCCCAGCAGATACATATTTACAAAATCCCTGTGTCTGTAATCACAAAAGGCGAAAAACCCAGCATTCATGTCAGTCCTCAAAAATGCCAGTTCTCTTTGTATCATATGTCCACTACTGGGCCCACCCCGGTGATGATGGAGACAGGGCACATTATTTGCAGCCCCATTAGGTAGGGGTCAAATAATTCCTCAAGAAAAACAGGTGCATGTTAAAGAAGAGAGGAAGGGAGGCTGGGCAAGCAAAAACCACAGATGTCCCCCACAGGCAACTTGGGTAAACTCATTCCAAATCTTCTACCAATGCAGATTTTGGTTGAAGGAGAAAAAGGGCCACACAGATGAGAAGAAAAACTAGTGTTACTGAGAGGGTAAAGAAGCAAAAAGAACCAGTGGTTGGAATTTACTTTGCAATTTTTCTATGACTCCTTCAGTTATCTCATAAAATTTAAAAGAAAAAAAAAACATTTCTGATTTTCACTGAAGGAGAGATGCAGGAATATTTTGATTTCAGCAGGAGACAAGAGACAAGAGGTTCCCTTAGGGGTAACAGATATCACATTAAGAGGAAAGAGTTGATAGGAAACAGAAACTAGTTTAAAAGAAGGGAGTGATAATATATGGAGAAAGGAGATTGAGGATTAGAAAATCTAATTTAAGCAACTAGTGCTATTCATCAAGTACTAAAGAATTTCTCTGTGTTTTTCTTAAGGGCCTTATCCTTTGGGATACCTATTTGTACTAGCACAGATTCAATTGCCCCATTTACAACTTATTTTGGAGTAAATCCATTTAAGGAGTATGTGAAGAGGTGAAGGGATGGGTTCCCTCTATCCCTTAGGTTTTTCACACATGGTAACATTTAAGAAAATGATTCTTTATAGTTCTTCTACGTGAGCCACCACCACAGCATGGTAGCTGACAGACAGGTGGTGTGGTTTCACCACCAGGAATGGAACCCGGGCCGCCAAAGCAATGAGCGCGCTGAATTTTAACCACTAGGCTATCAGGGCTGGCTCGGCTTACAACTAGATATACAACCATGCACTGGGCCTTTGGGGAGGCAAAAAAAAAAAGAAAGAAAGAAAATGATTCCTTCTTGTACCAGGCAGTGAGAGATCTTGTCACAGAGATCTCACTAGGAAGCACTACTCACCATCTGCAACCTCACCTACCATCTGTAGCGCCTTGGTGACTTTAACATTTAGACATCCATATAATACTCTCAACTTATGTCTGTCCAAACTCATCAGCCTCCTCAGTTGGAGAGTCATCAAAGCTCAGCTCTTTTGCTTGCTGTGTTAAAAATCCAGCGGTTCGTGAGGCAGCTGCAAACCCTGGCACTGAGCATCTTCCCGTGGTGAGCAAGCACACTAGGTCGTCCCTGCACCATCCTTGAGCATGACAGGAGTATCATTTTGGAACAATTAACAGTGTCTGTCTCTAACCAAAAGCCTTCAGCTGCTGTAGCTAACATCTAGCAATGCTGAGAAGAAAGCACAAGGTTTAGA